CAAATATATATAAAAATGCACTCCACTGCATATCGAAAAATGCCGCACTCCGTCGCCGGCATCTTTTTTTTTTGACAGGCCAGGGTCTTCGGTCCCTAGAGGGCCGCCCCACCGCCCTGGATCCGCGCCTGGCTTTTACTATATATCTATAGTTATAACTAATAACTATATGTAGACGTGCAAAAATCAATCATTCCAAACACTAAGAAAATGATAAAACTCGTTTTGGTTGCATATGAGCATATGTTATTTACGAGTTTATCCAACCAAGCAATATTAATTATTAAACCTATTATTTTCAGGGTTTAACTGCCATAACAAGCATTGGATTGTTCACGTGTTTGACTGGTTACGTCACGTGCTGGTGGAGGTCCCATCCCATCCGTCTCGAACCAATCACTTTCCTTCCAGATAGGATCAGTACCACACACCGTCTGACTCCCAGTACGTCAGACGCATTTAACATTCCCCGGCCTGACGCGTCATTAAACTTCGAGTTGTCTGATCGCGTTAGTGTCAGATCACACGAACACGCTTATTGTAAATTAGCTTAATCGTGATAGTCTATTTCTTAGGTTCATTATTTCTTTAAACATCCAAATCCTTTGATAACTGGGACAAATCACTCTTCATCTTATTTCTCTTCCTGGTGACCGTAACGACAGGAGAAACATGAGGTGCGAGAAGTCTCATTTAAAACAATTTTCCGAAAAACGCCATCTATATTACTATTTGAGGAGGGCGTAGTTTCTGTCTATTACGAAGGTCGCGACATGGTGCTACGTAGCGCGGGTTACAGATCACACCGTTGCACCTACCGCGCTGAAATTTGCGCAACTCATAGAACAAGGATGGACAACGTGCCTTTGAGCGGTCTCGGCTCGATCGGATCGATAGCGAGCGCGTGGCGCGTGCCCAAAAAGTGCAAATTCACGTCATAGACTTTACATGTATTAATCGGCTGGCAAAAACGGGCGAAAACAGCCAAATTTGCCCGACACGGGTCCGGTCCCGGTGCAATATCTCGGTAACCGTGGGCCCGACCGGAACGGGAAAAACAGCATCGTGTAGAGAATCGAACGGGCTATCGAATGGTGTGCGGTGCAGGGGTTGGCACGCGCCACGTGCACCGGGGAGGACACTTTCTTTTGAAAAATGGACGTTTTGGACGGATTTTGGAATTTATATTAATTTCAGGTGATCGTCAGACGGAATGAGTTGAAACAGCGCCTATTAGCAATAAAAATGTACCGTCTCTCATGTAAAAATTGTGAACAGCTAATTGATCAAAAACAATGTGGAAAAAATCGCTGAATTAAATGGTATTTGTCCAAAATGTGCCACTAAATAATTACACGGATTTTGCTGCTTAAAGGAAATAGTTCACTTTTTAACATGGGTTTTGAACTGGAATAGCAGTTCCGTAGCTTGGGCTGAGACGAGCATAAATCAGGAGCTTTTACAGCCCAACGATCACCCTAGGCAAAGATATTCTATTTCTCGTCCCGAAAAAGGTGTATTGCGTTGAGGATGTGTGCCTTGCATATATTCGCATCCAGTATGAAAAGAGCATGGGTCCCGAAAATTCTTCAGAAACTAGTGAAATTATCTACGAGAACTCAAGAGAAATTCTCGTACTGATCAATAAGGACATTCAGCAGCAGCAGATCGCCCAAATGCCGGTGGCCGCGATAATTTCTCTAGTTTCTGAAGAATTTTCGGAACCCATGCTCTTTTCATACTGGATCGCCTGTGCCTTACAGAAACTGAAAAGTTCTTCTTATATCAAAATATAGAAAATAATCTTTTGTTATAAATAGGTTTTATTTTCTTTGCTGATCATTTTGAACATAAAAAATCATAAAACCATTGCAAAAAAAAATAATTTCGTGAAAGTGAACTATTTCCTTTAACCTGATACGTTTGACAATTGAAAATGCTATCATTGGAAAGAGCATTCAATTCTCTCCAAGATCCAATCATCACGTTTGCATGACAAGCAACAGTATTCTTAAAAATATAAATTTTTCAAACCTCTGCAAAACGATTTTTAGTGAAAATTATCTACGCCTTTAATTTGTCATAAAACTACGCGCCTAAATTATACAGGGTGTCTCAAAAGTTCGTTCACACATTTCCCATGCCAATAAAGCATATAAGAACCGGCCAAAAGTATAAGGTTTTGGTGTCTGTGTGTACACTATACAAATATGCATGCTTTGACAACTGATTAAGAAGGTTGGAAACCAACCCCTTTGCTGTATCTCCAAAAATATTTGCCCATACCGATTTTTGTTGCTCCGTCAGCTGCCGGAGGCTGATAAAAGGTTACCAGCTTTCAAGCTCTTGCAGGGGAATCCCCTGCAGTTTCTGCGTCGGATTTAGTTTTGACTAGCTCCCCGGCAACATCTGATTTTCCCTGAAAGCCGACAGCTTGCATCGACACCATTCTTGAGTATTTTGTAGGCATTCTCTGGCGCTAACTCCTTCATGAATGACTGGCGCCGACATCCCAAGCGCCATTTTCCTTTTCAAAACGACCCCAGTCCTGAACAAACGGGAAGTGCCAGGAGTAAATTTTTCGCATCATATGGTAGAAGAATGTGTCGGACATCTGTTTCTCAGACACATTGTGCAAATTTTGCAAATTCCAAGCGCTCGTCATTCCCCATGCCAAGACCTTCGCTCGGTTGCGGAGTGTTTTCCTCGGGAGATGTTCTGCTTTGTAAACGGCCCAAACCTGTCCATCGTGTGGTTTTATCGGGATTTTGTGTTTAAAAGAAAATTATTCGCTGCAGATATGCCTCTTGAAACTTCGTTAGATAAAATTTTACAATAACTGACACTTTTGGAGGGTCAGGTGTCCTTGGCATTGACGATTTTTGTGTTATTGTCCCCAAAAATTAGCGTTATAGATATTATAAACAATTTTTAATTATAATTTGTCTTTATTTTACGATGAACTGCACTTTTTGAAAATGGGTAACCTCTGTCTGTGACCTTCCTGCCAGTTTTCAATAGTTATGACCGCATTTTCAGCTGCTTTCCGGAACACGAGTCTCCTGTCGTCCGAGGGTCGTTCAAAACGCCGTTAGTCTCGCATGGTTTCGTCCTTCAAAAATTTTAGCCACCGTTTTTATGAGATGATCATCATGTTGCACTCATCCTCGCCGACACTTAGCCATGTGTCATTTCCGACTTAACCATTCCCATTACTCCTGAAACAGAGAGTTTCACAACATACCCGACTTTGCAACCTACATTTTCGTGCCTGACCCATGGTCAGAGGTGAACCCTTTTCGTGAGCTCATGAAGGGTCGAATGCACTTGAAAACAATGAGACTGCTTGAGGAAGGTTGTCACCAATGCCCATGCAAAATTTCGACTGTTAATTTCTTGTTGATTCAGAATTATTGACAAAAAAGCATGGCTGGTACCTGTGAACGAACTTTTGAGACACCCTGTAAAGCACATTTGACAGATTCTGAAGTGGAAAGCATGCTTATCAGACACGGGCACCTCGATGCGGTGGATATTTTTTCCACAAACCAAAACGTTCAGCCGTCAAAAAGCAATCGACCGAAATGGATAGCTAACCCAACCGACACAAGAAAACCAAACACCCGCCGATCGTAAATGCCCCTTTTCGCGTTGCGGAGCACGCGGGTCACCCTAGTGTTAATTCTATATAGGGCCTTGCATGTTAATTTTGTGTTTTAAATATGAGGCTGCTGTGCATAAATCACGTGCAAACTGCTCGCAGACAAAACAAACGGTGACATTTTTGCAAAACGTCGCCGTCGTCGCCGCAGCAGCCATTGCAGCAGCCTTGGCAGCAGCATTCACTTGGTTATAGATGAAAACATGAGGTGAAAAATCGTAATAATGTGTATTATCTAAAGTTTCTGATATTGGAATTTCAACCCGATCAAGAAGACATCAGGACTTGCTGCTGAACGAAGAGTGTGTGAACGAGCAAGTGTGAATTAATGCAAGGAGCCGAACAAACGACGCATGTTTATAAATATATTTTCTGTCTGCAGTCGGGTTATTATTTATGATCATGTGCTCTTTCCTCTTCCCCAAAAATCTAGTCCAAAATTTTTTCTTTACCTCACTAATAACCCTCTTTACACACAAAGCTATACAGAAATGGGCAGTTTTGCACTTTCGTGATAATAAATTACGACTTAAAATTGTTTTAAATACACTTAACATCACTTTTTCGTCGTGCAAGAATATTTATGCACTCAACTTTGCAATTTAAGACCACTCGTGCTTAAATGATTATTTAAGCACTTGTTCATGTTCATAAATGAACTCCCTACGGTCGTTCATTTATGAACATGTGCTTAAATAATCATTTAAGCACATGTGGTCTTAAATCGCAAAGTCTCGTGCATAAATATTCTTACACTCCGGAAAAGTGACGTTAACATATATTTTGAAGAGCATAGAAATATGACACACAAGATGTGGTGGGAGGCATGTCAGGGTAAGGTGGAGGAGCAAATAACGTACATAGTTGCCTGATATGAGACGAAAGAAGAACGGCAGAACGTATTTTCAGCTCAGCCTGCTAGGCTTCTGGCAAAATATTTGAAACGGCTAAGAAGCGTATTTGCCTGTTCACAATACCTCTGCACCTGTTCACATTACCATGTTCCCTGATAAATGTCCGTCCCAGAAAGAGGCGAAAGATCGGTTCCGGCACTCTCTCGACATTAGGCCTGCCCATGTCGACTTTACGGGCATTACGCAAGTTGGCGGAGAGTGAGGTGGCCCGTGTTATATGTAGACGAGATTAGCGTTTGATGACGCACCACGTTCTGTCCTGTGTCCTCTAACCGCACCTGTGTTCCCTTTTCCCGGAGCAGCACCTGACCACCCCTCCTCCACCAGCGGCACCTATACCAGCACCTCCAGCACCTGACCACCCCTCCTCCCGCAGCGGCACCTATACCAGCAACTCCAGCACCTGACCACCCCTCCTCCCGCAGCGGGAGCGGCAAGTCCACGCTGATGACGACTCTGGCGCAGCGCAACCCCGGGGAGGTGATGGTGGACGCCGACATCCAGTACAACGGACAGCCGGCCACCAAGCAGATGCGCAGCATGGCCGGCTTCGTCTACCAGGACGACATGTTCGTCGGATCGCTCACCGTCCGAGAGCACCTCGAGTTCGCGGTACGGCGCCGCTCCACCTCTAGCGCTGGGGTTGTTTTTGTTGTTGTTAGCAAGATGTTTTTTTTCTCCTTTTCATCCTTGCTCTCCTTTTTCATTCCTCTAATCTTTTTCCTTCTCCTTACTTCTTCTGTTTATTTTTTTTTTTTCCTTTCATTTTTCTTTTCTCTCTCTCTTATTAATTCTCTTCTTTCTTCTCTCGTCTTTCTCCTCTCTCTTTCTTCTTATCCCCTCTCCTCCTCTCCCTCCC